ATTCAATCTGTGGCGTAATAATATTATCACAATGTATAAAAAAGAAAAAAACTTTGATATGCTCTACCTCTATCAAAAAAGATATGAATATGAAGAATATTATATTCCGGGTGATTGGATAAGTTTCAAGAAACATCAACTACAACAAAGATTGAGAAATCATGTTGACAAGTTGTTCATTGAACGAGGTTATAAAATTGTCTGGGGAAGTTGGGATACGTTGCTGAAATGTATCAAAAATCCAGATGATAATTATATTATTGATAAGTACGGTCTTCGCATTGATAGAATATAATATATATAATATAACAATTTTATTTTTTGCCGTTTTTGAGCTAATGGTATTTTTTTTATTACGCTATTAATGATTTGATCTCTTTTTCCAGATCTAGAGGATTCATCCAATCGATTCTAATGGACATAGGATCAGAAATCGGCACAGTTGTATCAAAGACAATGAATTCGCCATTCCGTAAATAGGTATTAATAACTTTGGAGGCTTTACGTGGATCTTCTTCTATATATTGACGAATAATTCGTTGAATGTCATCTTTTGAACCTCCGCCATTAAATAATACAAGATGAGTTGCATTTTCACGAATAATTTTTGGTACTTGAGTGAATTTATGCGAAATATATATTGCGGAAATATTACTATGACGCCCTCTATTAAAAAATGGAATGATTCGATCCTGGATTGACTGTGGTTCGGTGCATAAATCCTCGAATATAATCACTGTGCGTCTTTTTGGATTTTTAAACTGTTTCAGATCTGGAATTTTATCAGGCGTAAGTGCAGTAAATGTAACATCTTCATAATATGGTTTGGAACGATCTGCTATTTTCTTATAAAAATTTCGAACTAACTTCCATTTGGGTTCACTAATATAATGTCCCACAAGTACTAGATCATTGCAACGTATAAAACGTTCACCAATTTTCTTTTTTCCCTCTTTCAGATCATAGTATTTATCCCCGTTAAAGAGGTTTAACTGCATGTTGGTTTTACCAGTATTCGATCTCCCAGATACCACAATATAAAAGGGCCACTTAGGAGCATCTATATCGTCTAAAGATATTCTCGGTGGTTTAATTTCGTCAATATGATATACATAAAAATATTTCATTCTGATACTAATTCAACTATATTTCTAAGAATTTTTTTTTTCTTGCCAAGAAAGAATAATCAGCGTTATCAAAAATAACACGCACGTGATATTTTTTTCTTAATATTAATACACATAATAATAAGTAAGTATAAACATGACGAACCTTACTGAAGCTCAAATTTATGCCGAAAAACGCGGAGGAAAAGTTCACATCCAAACCGGTCCTACAACATTCTTATTTTCATGTCATAGAAATCACTTATGGGAGAGGCCTATTACGAAGAGATATGACTGGTGCCCCCTATGTCCTCATTCGAAAGGGGAACGTACATCAAGGTATATATTCGAAGACCTGTTAGGAAAAGAATTTCCGCCATCCCGACCTAAGTTCTTAGAAGGATTACATCTTGACGGTTATAATAAGGAATTGCAACTAGCATTTGAGTTCCATGGCCAGCAACATTTTCAGGTTGTTCTGAAGCATTTTCACCCGAATGGCAAGACTGATTTGACAAGTCAGCAACTACGTGATCAAAAAAAGCGGGATATATGTAAGCAAGAAGGTATATGCCTCATCGAAATACCATATTTCACGGATATCGAAACTTTTATAAGAGAAGCTTTAATCAAGAATGGCTATCTCCAAGACTGTTCCAATTGATAATGATGTACTTCGAGGACGTTCTGATCGATAATGATATTTTTGGATGAATTCGTCTGGCGGGTACTCTAAATTTTCCATATCTACGATTTGCAATTCTTCTCTCTTGAATGGTCTACGAGGATTACGTCCCATTAAATGTTTTGTAGATTCAATCGCTTCCTTTTCAAGATAATATAAGACTGGCTGTGGCGGATTTTTCCCAACGACGACTTTTCTGATTTTATAAATACGTAATGACCAATATGGATCAGTTGCACGACGTCTGTGACCTCCTTCCAATTCTCCGGGTTTAAATAAATATCGAACAGAAGTACCCTTTGGTAGTGTTATCTCATCTTCTCCGATCGGTCTCTTGGGTTTTATGGAAGGTTTAGATATCACTTTTTCCAACGTCATAGCATGGGATGGGGTCATTCCGATTAATCATGTAGGACTGTTGTTCATATAGTCAAAAATTACTTCGAGAATCATATTCCATAACGTTGAGCGCTCTCCTGCTGTTAATTTAGATTCTATTGCATATTGGATCTTGTATATTTTTTCCACCAATCTTCGCTTTAATGCTTTAACCAATGCTAGACTTTCAAAGCTATAAAGATCAACAACCCAGATAGAAACATTATATCGTTGCATTCCCCGCGAAAAATGTCCAGAGAACTCTTTACCGCCATCTAGCATTAATAATTTTGGCCATGTAAGGGGGCACGTAGAATCTTCATATATTTCTTTTATAGCATTCCAAACTTCTAGACTATTTTTTGATGTTAACGAGCGTCCACTTTTATAACGCGTAGCAACGTCTATTACCACTAAAGTATAAAGATATATTTTTTCACCATCCTGATCGTCATAACCATGGGCCAACAGATCGCACTGATGTACTTTGTTAGGAATAGATATCTTCTGAAACCCTGCTCCGGCTTTGCATTTTTGCGGAAAGAGATATATTTGACGGACGAACTGATGATTAAGCCAGGATTCAATATCAATAAGGCGAAATCTATAACCTTCTTTTCTGCACGCGTCTAACAATTTTTTGGCATTCAAATAAAATCCAGGTACATGATAGTAAATTAGACGAAGAACGATTTTTAATTCCTCGTCAGCGTTAATTATAATACTAGGTATACTCATTTTTGATGCATTTTAATGTGAACTATAAAAATAATGGATTATAATTTCGATCCAGCATATCTACAACTGCTAGACACCAATCGAGAGTTACGTAAAGATTTGGGTAAAGAAGTAGACATAAACCGTGAAAATGAGAAAAAAATTCGTAGTCTCATCAAGGATCTTGAATATTGTAAGAAAACCATTTCATTTCAGGATAACACTATTATAGCACATGAAAAGGAAATACAGGAACTTAAATCTCAAGTTTCCGATCTTAAAAAACGTCTTCAATCCGCTCTAAAGGATGTTGATAAAAAAGAGGGATTTCTACTCAATCGCGAGCGACAGTTGACTATACTCGAAGACGAAGTGATCATATTAAAAAATAAAATTCAAAAAAATACCTCTCGGAAGTATAATAAACCTGTAATGGCTCAAACAATTCAAGCGCCAGGATCCAATGAATCCCAGACCACATAT